CCCGCCGCTGCCCTCCTCTTATAGCCGGGCCGCGGGGCGGGCAGCGGCTTTCGCAGAAGGAAATGAGCGCATCCTACGGAGAAATTCTGTGAGGACGGGCCCGTTCTGCTGAGCTGGAAAAGGCAAGGAAGCCACAAAAGGGGAAGCGCCAGTCCCGGCTCTGCTACTTTCAGATTCCATTTCCGAGGGTGGAAGGGACTGGAGGGAGCCCCGACCCCGCACGCCAGCCCGTCCCCGTCCTGCGCCGCTGCAGCGGCCAAACCCCACGGCCTCGGTGTCTGTCTGAGACCCGGCACGGGCTGGAGAGCTTCCCCCGCTGAGTCCAGGGAAACCCAACACAGCCACCGCCAAGTGCTGCCAGCACCGTCCCGGGCAGGGATCGGCCCCATGCAGCAGCGCCGCGTCACCGCGCATCTCTGCACCACACATCGCGCATAGAGTCACCTCCACAGCTGTCATACTCTGTTGGCCATGTAGGAAAAGAAAAGTAACAGAGACCAGGTTGGTTGGATGTGGTAGATAACCCCGTGCGGTCTCACTCTTCTCTTTAGTTGTTTAAAACTCCTATCATAAGGTATATTTCCTTGATGGTATGATACCTTATAGGGAAGCCAAGGACTGGATGCTCTCTAGGGACCAGACTCCTCTGTTGTGCTGGTGGACTCGGGTCGCAGCTTGTCCTGGCCCTCTCCTCTTCCTGGATGTGAACAGAGAATTTCTACCTCTTTACCTATAAGACTTTCATGGTTTTGGTCTGCAGCCTCTTGCCAGCTAATCTCTGGCCACTGCTGTTTGCCCCCTCCTTGCCACCACTAAACTTTTTCCAGTTTAGCTCTCTGGACTGACTTACCCCAAAAAAGAAAATGCACGGATATGAGAGAGGAGATAGGACCACAAGAGCAGAAACAAGGTTTGTTGAAGCCTGCTGAGATCAGCTCATGGAAGCCCTGCAGATGAAAGAGGCAATTACAGCATGGCAGGAAAGGGGCTGCATCTGCTATCCCTAGACATAATTCCCGGTAATTCCGTTGGTAAGACAGAGCTGCAAAATGTACAATTTCCTCATTTTTTTTCTTCCCTTCTGCCCTTGCCCCGTGGGTGCCACAGGAGAGCAGTTGCCAAACTGGGAGGCACCACACAAACCCCCAGCCTCCCACCGCCTGCCCTCGGAGCCTCCCTGGGCCGTGACTAATTCCTGCCAGCTCCGATTCCAGAGGAAGGTTTGGCTCACCCAGCTGCTGAGCAAGAGCTGGGCCCACTCGCCTCATCCCCTCGGCTGGGATGCTCCCCCTCGCACTTCCCCATTTCATGTGCAGGGACAAACCTCACGTTGGCTGCAATGTCCTTCCAGCTGGAGAGTTTCCCTCTGCCAACGGGTCCCTGTGCAAAGGATGAGGCCCTCAGAGATAGCACTTATTAGATATGAGATGCAGGGCTGTGAGAAAGGACTGGGATCGGTTCTTTTTGGAAAGAACAAAAGGGGAGAGGTGACAAGAGGGGTGAATCATCTCACTGGAGACCTTCACGAGGAGCTAGATGGCACTGATGGGGCCTCCGAGTGATGTTATGGAGAGATGTGACCCCTCCAGCTCCCTTCTGGTGCCTTTGATTCACTATTTCTAAGCCATCTTATGCTCTTACTAGC